TTTCATGTGAATTACTATTTGAAAGCATTAATCATCTCATTTCTTACATATATTGAATAGTGAGTATGAAGTTCTCAGGTCACAGATCTGAAAATTTAAGGAAATAATTCTATTTTTCTGAAACAACATAGTTGCTATCTCAAAAATCCCCTCTCATCTCAGCAGTCAATAAAATAATCAAGTTAGGGTCTTTTCCCCTTTACTTTTTCTCTGATATAGAATTTGATTTCCGGAAGCTTGTGGTATTGTGTCTTCCGATAGGGATGGTTGAAGGGTCTCTGGCCCATGACCGCCTGCTGTCTTCATGTTGGCTCCCACGGAGATGCGCTAGTCCTTGAGACTTGCAGACCTCCATGTCGGCATCCACAGAGGGATGTGGTGTGATCTCTGCTGCTTGCCTCTCACTACGGAACCCTCTTCACTAGGTCTGTGAGCTCCTCACCAATTTCCTGGCTAGTTTCTGCAGCCTTTTCAAGAGCATAAGAAAATTAACTCCAGTCATGCATTGCTATTGGGCTTCAGAAAATTCCATAGGACCATCTCAGGCTCTAACTGCCCTCTTCAATTTACACAACCACCTCTGCCACTGAGCTTGCTCCATGGTGGTAGAGGAAATTCCTGTTGCCTTCAAGAATCCTCTGTGATCTTGCTGTTCAAAGTGTGGGCTATAGACCAGCCGCATTGGGATTGTCCGGGAGCTTGTTAGATGTGCAGAATTTCGGGCCCTGTTTCAGATCTACCCAATCAAAAATGCATTTTCACAAAATCTCTAGGTGATTTGCATCCACATTAAAATGTGCAAAGCACATATTAATGAGATACAGGACAGAGTTTCAACTTACCCTCAGGACCCTGATCTAGCTAAGGGTTCTATTGCTTTTCTTTCCCTCAGGAGCTAACTATTTGGAAGGAGGGAAGGGAAAGTATGGCCTGGGAACCCTTCCTAGAGATCTACAGCAATGTCTTAACAATCTTGTTTCCCATCCCTATTCAAACTCTTTCCTCACCCCAGAAAAAGTTTTAAACTATCTCCTCTGGGAAGGGAAAATGCCCAGGAAATACTTGATTGAATCCTTATATCATGTAACTGGACATTTTTAGTTGAAAAGCCAAGAATTTGGTATCTTTATATTTTGGTCTGTGCTGCAACTTTCTCCCCTTCCCTTCGTCCTCACCCACTTCTTGGGGCAACGGGACAACCCATTCTAGTGGCCTGGATAGGAGAGTTTCAGGGAGAGGTAACACTTTACAGAATCATCCTGTGATATAGAAATTTTATTTAGATGTTTAAATACTTCAGTCTCAATTGGACTTGGGTTTTCTGGAAACCCAAATTACATTTCTGAGATGCAGTTCATGCCATCATATTGCAATTCATTCTACTAGCCTTTATTTTCTGACGATAAACTTTAATAGAAATTTGTGTTCAGATAGTGAATATTGGGTAAGTAAACTCATGCAAGTAACTTAAGCCTCTTTCATCTTCAATAATCCGGTTTGGTGTAATATGTGATGTTTCAAGTTACACGTTTTTTAGTCCCTGAAATCTCTTTGGATCCCTCAAGGGCAAGCCCTGCCTTCCCCGAGTGCTAGATATTTACATCTATGACAGCATTTAACACTCTGCTTGCTATATCCCCTGTTGGACTACCAGCTCACTGAGGTCAGGCTGAGTGTCTCTTTCACTGCTGCATCCCCAGTGCCTAGCTCCTGGCTCATAAAAAAGTACAAAAACTGCTTGGATGAAACAAATGAACAAAGTCACTGATATTATTCAAACCTTTCCTCACCTACCCTCAATACATACGAAGAAAGTAAGTATAAAAAGTGTTGCAGAGGTCTTTTAGTCCAATCACCGACTCAGGGGAAGAATCCTATATATAGAATCTCTACAGAGAGTCAAACTTTTGCTAAAATATTTCCAGAAGAGGGAATATAATTAGCTTTTTCCATTTATGGGTATTTCATATTTTTAGAAAGCACTTTTTAAGTTGAATCGAAATCTGCCTCCTTGATTCTGTCTGCCTTTTTGGAGTTTAATTGGTTCACATTTCTATAGTATAATTCTCCAAATTTGTTAAAAAGACACGAAATTAAAAAGATTGAAAAAGAGGTAAGGACAGTTTATCCTGCATAGAGATCACCATCAGCTGAGGTGTCTGCTTTTCCCTCCAATAAAATATACAGGTCTTGCTTTTGAACTCAGGTATTCACTGAGAAGTCAGAAATGGAATAGGACAAGGAGGCTGGTAGGTTTGGCCACCACATTTCAAGGAGGGGAGGTCGCCTTGAGTCTGAGCCTTGTCTTTGTGGTGAGAGCAGCATTGCTTAGGTACTTCATGCTGCACGTAATACATCGTGGGATGAGGATTCATTTCTGGTTGTGATAGCGTATGTTAGAAAAATGCTTGTCAAAATTTCTCCGTGTTTTTTGCTCTGTCCCCATATTGCTACTGCCTGCTAGTTGTCATTGCCACCTCAAATCCTATGAAAGGTCAAACTTACCTTGTCTTCTTAACCAGGGTCTTCTGCCAGCTACTGTACTTTTGACGCTGTTATTCCCACAGGCTTATAAAATGTTGGGTTAACTTATCCTTCTTGTTCCCCCATCCCATCAGCCACCTAGTCATGCAAATTTCTCCTCTGTAGTGGTTCTCACATCTCCTTCTTCCTCTCCAGGGATGCTGACAAATGGCTGCCACTGGCCATGTGATTCAACGTCTGCTTCCCTTCCTCACTCCAGCTTCTATCCCATTTTATTCCAAAAGACATACCACTGTCAGAGTAATTTTCCTTAAACTCCTCTGTTATCAGCATGTCACCTAATTAAAAACCTACAGAGTGTGATGTTCTACTGCATCAGATGCTAAATTCCTCTGCTTCCATCTCAAGGTCCTTCTTCAACACCACTTCAAACCATCCAGCTTTATTTTAGCTACTGCCCCTCCCCATCCACCCTGCCCTCCTCAAACTCCAGGTCCACTCTTGTCGGCACCCTTTCTCCCTGCAACCCACCTGCACCACCACCCACCTACAATCTTGCTACATTTGCATTTGTATGATCTCCCTCCCCTGGGCCAATTTTAAAGCCCACCTTAACTCCTGTTTCCTCTATAGATTTTTGTCTTAATTATTCCAGGCTTTATTCACCTCCTTCCTTCTTTCCCCTCTATGGTTTTTATTGTGAGTTATAAACAAAAGTAAATGAAACTTATGTGTACAGTTGAACAAGTGGTTGTAAAGAGGACACCCAGGTCACCACCCCTCAGATGGGAAATAGAATATTCTGGAACCCTGGGAGCCCTCCCTCTGCTCCCTTATATCCCTTCCCAATCAATTTTACGGCACTAATATTCTGTACCTCATAATTTAGCACTTACAGTGATTAAGTCCCACCCTGCTTTGCCTTGTGGCTTAAATGTGTTGATTTTATTCCTCCGACTCAACTGTAGGCTCTTGGAGGGCAGGGGTTCTATAGGTTCTTCTTCAGAATACCCCACAGTGTTCCAGGCATTGCTAAGCAAATAAGGGCATTCAGTAGATACTTGCTCACTGACTACAGACTAAGGAAAAAGCAACACTGAGAACAAACAATATGTATGTTTATGTCCAAGAGTTAACATCGTGATATCTCTCACAATCAGGCTAACTTTAGAAAATGGCATAATTCTATTTGTCAGGTTCTTGCCCACATCTTGTGCTCCCTGGTTTCAGTTTTCTTTTCCTTGATGTGGCACTCAGCATTTCTGGAGATTTCTCGGGGAATTTCCAGTCTTGCAAAGCAGAATGTAGAGGAATGCCGTGTCAGTGAATAGAAGTCCATGGCAACACTACACAAACACCAGTGATTCTCTCTCCTATTTCAGTCAAAGAACGGCTGTAGTCACAAAACAGGCTTCTCTCCTCCACTGCGCAGTTCTTTTTCTCATTAAAAAACTTTGTATTGCATCCAAATGTTTTTAGAATTAAATGCCTTAGCAAATGTTAGTAACATTCCCTATCTTACAGGTTTGATCACACAGGACTTCTAACAAAGATTCCATGCCAGGAATAGAGAAGAAAAGATACACGTATAATAAACAAATATGGAAATAGTAAACACACATATTAACAAAAAATAGTCTCTGAAGGAGCTCTCTGTGTAAGTAAAACATTTGACTCAAGGAAATAATGCAGTGTAAACATAAAAGATGTTTACAGTATGCCAATGATGGTACTAAGAAAAATAGTATATATATTACAAGACCATAATAATTCTAATATTTGGTGAGACCTATAAACCACTGAGATGTTGGATTAAATATGTATTCTTGTAAAGGAGGATCTGATTTAGCAGTAAAAGGAAGGAAATCCACTTTTTTGTCTTATCCTAGAACTTCTGGGGCAAAACTTCATTGTACTGCACAATTATTTCTGGCTTGGGTTAATTATAATGAGACAGTGGAGTTGAGCAGGAAGGAAATCCACACGTATTGAAATAGCTTATTTACAATAGCTTAGTCCATGAAAAGGCCAGTGAAATATCTATCAGCCAGGATAATAAGTGACAAGAAATAATATGTGACCACTGCACCCCAATGTTCACAGCAGCACTATTTACAATAGCCAAGACAGGGAAGCAACCTAAATGTCCATCCACAGATGACTGGATAAAGAAGATGTGGTATATATACATACAGTGGAATATTACTCAGTTATAATAAAGAATGAAATAATGCCATTTGTAGCAACATGGGTGGACCTAGAAATTATCATACTGTAATCAAGTCCAAACTCATTCTGCTCACTGCATGACAGGCCAATAAATTGGGAGATGAATTGTTGGGGCAAAGAATATGACTTTATTTGGAAAGTGGCAGACCAAGAAGATGGCAGACTAATGTCCTGGTGGACCATCTTCCCAAAGTCAGAATTCAGGCTCCTTTTACACCAAAAAGGGGAGAGGGTAGGCTTGGTTGTTGCAAACTTCTTGGTGTAAGAATTCTTTGTTCCTGGAATCCTTTGTTCTTGTAGCTGTGCTCGTGGGTCAGATCATGGTGTCCCTGCAAACCTCTGAAAAACAGACATTATTTTCCATTCTGCAACTTGTCATCTTTGTATGAATGGAAAGTGTTAATAGCCTGAAAGGTCAGAGCCTTGAGAACAGGCTCTCCTGTATGTTTTAGGCTCTAGGCAACATTCTTTTACAAAAGGTGCAGAACCAGCAAGACTAAGCCTAGGGAACAGAGCCCAGGGTTAAAGTCAAAGGAACAACTCCAACACGGCGTCAGAGTTGTTCTTTTCTATTACAATACTAAGTAAAGTCAATCAGACAGAGAAAGACAAATATCATATGATACCACAGATATGTGGAATCTTAAAAAACATGATACAAATGAAGTTATTTACAAACCAGAAATAGGCTCACAGATATAGAAAACAAACTTACAGTTACCAAAGGGGAGAAGAGGGGGGAGGGATAAATCGGGAATTTGGGATTAACAGACACATAGTACTATATATATATAAAACAGGTAAACAACAAGGACCTAGTTTGTAGCACAGGGAACAATATTCAGTATCTTGTAATAACCTATAATGGAGAAGAATCTGAGAAAGAATACATATTTATATATGCATAATATGTATGACTGAACCACTCTGCTACACAGCTGAATCTGTAGTGGCTGCTGGGAGTGTAGCATAAGGAAACTTTATAAGGAGATTTCCACTTCCAGTTAGAATTTAGCTAGTTGTGAAAGAACTCTGTTCCTACAGTAACAACAGGGTAGAAAACCCAAGCAAAATAAAAAAATCATACTCTTCTGTGGGGCTAGACAAGAAAGCGGGACAGAAGGAAGCCTTAAAGAACTAACTTGCAGAGGGATATGGGTGCCATCTATTTGATTGGGAGCTGTGGCTGCCTCCATACCTGGGTCGGGCGGGAGGTACCTGTCTTGTGTCCAAATGGATGCAGAAGCTGGCCTGTCATAGATGGAGAAACAGCATGAATAAGGGTAAATCAGCTAAGGCTTGCCTAAATGACAGAACGGAATAATGAAATAGAATGCCTTATCTGGAAGAGCCTCATATGCTAAGCAAATTGCTAGGTTTGACAATTCTCTATAACCCCACTCTGAATTTGTGCTGAGAACACAGTGGGTGTTGAGGAGGTGAGAGTGCAGTCCTTAGCATTCTTGTGGTAATTAGATTCTGGGGCTCTGCCCAATTAAGTCCAAAAAGTGAACCAAATATATCTTAAAATGCAGCACAATTGATTGCCAGCTTGACTATCAGTGAAATAAAAAAGGCAGAGAGAGGCATGGGAGGATGTAAGTTGGACTAATCACAAATGAGCTCTAAAACAAAAACAGAAACAAAAACAACCCCCTGCAATTTCTGATACAAAGAACTGAAAAATGTAACATTTGAAATTAAAATGTTATTGGGCATGTTTGACAGCAGCTAGATCATTGCAGAAAAAAATTAATGAACTTAGAAAAAATTTAATAGGAATTATCTAAACTGGAGAAGAGACATAAAATGATTTTAAAAAACAAACAAAGGGTCAGGAATTGTAGGTTAATATCAGATGGTCTAACATGCATGTAATTGGAGTCCCAGAAAGGGAGGGGAGAGACAAGGCGACACAAGAGATACTTGAGGAAAGGGAAGTCATACATTTTCCAAATACAATGAACTAATATATATTCACTCTGGGTGGTTGGCATATAGGTGTGTTATATTAATACGCATTTTTATTTCATTTTTAAACTTTTAATATTAAAGAGGTCAGTGTTTAAGAGGTTTTGGAAACAGGCTACTGGTGTTTGAATCTCTTCCATAATTATTAGTGGCATCCCTTAGGCAAGTTTCTTTAGCTCTGTAAGCTCTACCTCCCTCATCTGAAAGCTGGATATAATAGCAGGGTCATTTCATAGAGAGCATTGTGAAATGATACGTATTAAGTTTTTAGCAGTGTTCCTGGTGCCTAGAAAGAACTCAATAAATGTAAAATTCCCCTCCTCCTCCTTTTTCTCTTCTCTGTCATCACCTAGGAAATTTTCAGGGAGCAGTCATGTCCATGTCCATGTCCATGCCCAAAGACCAAGTTCACATCTGATACAGAAAACTGTAACACTTTTTCCTGATCACCCTAATTCAGGACAAAGTTTGCTTCAAATACATCATAAATGAGGTACTGTATGTGCATCATCCTCCAGAGAGGGTGAGCCAGACTACAGATGAGAGAGACTGGAATAATCAGGTCTGTCCATATCTGAAGACTTACCCTCCAGCCAAGCATACCTCTCTGCTGAATGTACCACACGGCTGGAAAATGGTGCTGAGCAGCTAGCCACTCAGTGACTAAGCTTCTGTTCTGGAGAGAAAGCAGAACAATTCAAGTAAACGTTCTAGGATATCGTGGCTTCCAGTTTCCTTCCTAAGCAACTTTCACATTTGGTTTGCCTTTCTGGAAGAAAAATACACTGGAGGAATGTCTGCTTGGGCAGTCTAGACCAACTCTGGGCCCCTCCCTGATAGCCAGTCATCTTTTATATTTGGACTATTTTTCTCTGTTACACCATCTGGCATCTCTCCATGTGGAAAAATAAGGCTGATTTTCTTGCAGGCACAGCCTTAACATTTTATGCCATTTATTTTGGTTGATTTTTAATTTCTTTATTAGGAAAATCTAAATGTCTTCTGAAAATCCAGAAAATTTCAATCCGTTCTTTTTTTTTTTTCAGATTATTTCTTAAAATGTCAAGGGACAGCAGTTACAATTTTTACTCTTGGAGAAACCACTGTTTATACCCTTTTAAGTTACAGTTTATTGCTACTTTAGGTTGTGATCTTTAGACCAGTTTATCAATTCAAACATTTAAAAATGTATTTAGTTAACAAACTGACCAGACACCTTTCTTGGTGAGGGGATACATTAACGAGTACAACAAAAACATGATGAATATGAACTTGCCTTTGTTGAGCTTAGAGCCTAATGAGGGAGAACAAGAGCAGAAAAACACCACCACTGAATTGAGGACAGCAGCCTACGAATGATGGCAGAACCAGCACCCACAATCGTGTAAGGTCAAGTCCTTGTAACAAATACAAATATCTGTAAAATCTCCTAAAAGTTTGGCTTCTCTGACTGAACCCCGACCAATACAAGTATTGAGCAGGGGTCCACAGGTGCTCCTTACCTGACAAACTCCAAGCAAGGCAGGAAGATGCACACAGGGAAAAATGATCGGTTTGCTCCTTCACGAAACTGGCTGAAGTAGACATTGAACATGTAGCTGTAGCAGGGACTGGAATAAAAGGGTTTGAAGTAGTACGCAAGAGGTGCCTGACACAACATTCTATAACAAAAAACATATATTGGATGCTAGGGAACTACTCAATTCAATTGGGGGAGGGTATACCAAGGGAAAGATTCATGGGTCTCTATCTCTGGAGAATAACGTACTCAAATAAATGTCAGCACGTTTGTTATAGTAATTTTAACATTCTGGTTTTATCATTATAGCTTGTTCCTTACCTTGGAACATGGTTTCAGTATCCATATTTGGTAAGGAGACCAATGCTTCTGCTGCTGTAAAAAATAAAACCTGTCGACGTGAAATTGGAATGGATTCAAATGTTCTTAGTTTGGTCTGTGAAACATCAAATCCATAAAATCAACAGCACAGGCCCTTTTGGAGTTTCCACAGATAGGATGTCTTTTTTGTTTTCTGCACAGCTTCCCAGCACTTCTCTCATAAATGAAGGTTTTAACGCTGTATTTGTGTTACAACTCTCACCTTCTTTTTCTCTTCTTAACTTATCTTTAGCAACAGGAGGGAATTTGGGGGGCTGTGATAGATGGAAATCAAAAAAGTAGACTGGGCTTAGCACATATTCATAGTGATGTGTGCAAGGTTTGCAAAATTCTTGCTTGGGTTTTGTCTGCACATAAATATTCATGACATAAACCAATGTGTACTGTAAACAACCATTTTTATACTATTAAAAAGAAACTATGAAATCAAGTCTTTCACTAACTAGCTTTGTGTCATTGGGTAAATAATGTAAACTCTGGGCTTCAGCTTCTTTTATACATAATAAGATGTTTTGGTTAAATAAGCTTTCTTCTATTTCAAAAATTCTGTTGTTTAGGCTTTCGTTTTGCAATGAAATTTCCAGTCAACAAAGAAACCCAGAAAAATATCAGCAAAAGTAACATGATTTCAGTTATTATTATTACTGAGTTTCAAATTTCATTGGTGTTAAAAGTTTGATTTTAATGGCATTTTGTTAATGGGGTTGCTTATTTTCTCAGCAGCGGGAAAAAGTAACATCCAAATGCTTATACTAGACATATTGTTTTTAGATTTTTATCACTTAAAAGCAGCAGGAAAAAAATTCCTTTTTATATCGTCTAAAGGAAATGAAACAATTCACTTCCAGTAGCAATAAATCAGCTAAGTGAAATTTTCTGCACACCACACCCCTAGAAGAGTATCTTGAAAGAAACATCAAAACCCTTTTAAAATTCTTTTGGCATCAAAACCCCCATTTTTCTTGGGAAGTTCCCCTGATTCATGAAATTCAAAAAGTCTAAAGAACAGGATCTGATGAAAATTGAAAGAAAAATCCCCTAATAATTGCATTTAACAATATTGTAAAAGAACAAAGTTTAAAATCTTAGAGGGTGAGTTAGATCAGATGTGAGACATTCCCAGACCATCTTCTTTGACTCGATTGCTATCAGATACAAAAATAAATTCAATTCGGTATTCAGGAAGGGCTGCATTTCTCCGTGTAAAATGAAAGCTATTCATACTCTGACAATCATGAAACAGAAGAATGAAAGATAAAGAAGGTGAAGAGGAGGGAAAGAGAAATTTACCCTGACTATCTTTGCCACCAGTGGCACCATCTATTAAACTTCTGTTTCCCAATCTCCACTGAATATTTCACATACATGATACTTCACGTGCATGGGTGGGTAGCTCAGCTTGAGGCTAAGTCCATCCGCTTAAGCAGATCAGTTGTGTCTGAATAGATTTGGGCAAATCTATTTTCAAGAAAGTGTTCCCAGTGCTTAGATTCTTGTCTCGTTGCAGAAAGAATTCAGAGACGGGACTCAGAGGTTAAGAAAGCGGGGATTTATAAGGATGGATAGTACACTGTCAAGGGGAGAGCCGGCAGGCTCAGGTGAGCAGCTGCCCTGAGTTTCTTTGGCAAGTTGGTTACATACAGTGTAAAAATGAACGGGCAGAATACTCACTGGGGAAGGAAGGGTTTGGAGTCGTTTTCCCTGATTTTCATCCCAACTCCACCTTCCCAAGGGAGGAGGGGTTTTTGTCCTTATTTAGTCCGGATTGGAAATGTCATGGCGTTAGTGCATGATAGGTACTTCTAATCTGCAAGGCTAATTGTACTGAAATGAGGGCATAATGAGCAAAATGTTACATTAGGACATTGGTGATTCCTGCCTTTTCCCACCTTTCTTTGTCATCTCCAGGCCACTTGTCACCCCAAAATGTGTGATCTCTTATCAGTTCAGAGGTTCCTGCTTTTCTTTGTTTGCCCAGGGACCCTTGTTTACACTACATATGTTTCCTGCATTTGGCCCGGGCCCCTCCTTTTTGCCCAATTCCTGCCATTTGTCCTCTGTCCCCCTTTCTCTGCTCACATCTAGCTATATGACTGCTCTAACAAAAATGCTGAGGATCGCCAAGAAAACAACTAGCTGTAAGGAAAGAAGGAACCAGCTATCACTTGCCTAATGCAATAGCAAAGCCTTAGTCATCAGAAAAGAGGAGAGAGAAGCGTTTGCTCACTCCTCAAGTGACTTCTGCATCACTTGGATTGACGCCTTGCTCGGGGGCCCTGTCTGGGTCAGGAGAGAGAGCCAAGTGAGGGTGAGAGGGTGTGCCCTAAAAGAGCACTCCCACTAAAGGTGTATCGGAACTCCTTTAATGCAGTGTAACATAAAATGAGGGAGAGCAACATACCCTCTATGTACCACAATCCAACAAATAGTTTTAGCACATTGAGGGAGAAGTGTGCAGCAGGTGTCTACAGAGCTCTTTGGTGGGAGGCAGCAGATGCTTGAGAAGTAGCAGTGGGATCAGCAGGATGTCCTGTGATAACTGATTTGATATATTCAGTAGCATTTCTGGAAATTCACTGTGACTTCCAGAAAGTATGTAGGCAAAAAGATGGGTGTATATGTCAGGAGTGGCTAAATGGTCATAACAAACACATCACTTCTATTTACAAGCCAATGATCAGAAGTCCTAGAGTCTTGCCCAGCAGCAAGTGGGCTGTGGGGGAGGAGATGGTGTCTGTTACCATAAAGGGTGGATGCTGTAGGAAGCAAGTAGGTGAGGGCAAAGCTAGTGTAATATACTGTTAATCTGACCTCGTTCGTTCCCACATACCAGTGAGACCAGTATGCATAATACTTTGATTTAATCCGTATGACAGTCAGAGGAAACAGATTCAGAGATGCTAAGTAACTTACTAGAAGTCACACAGCTGTTCAGTTGTCCTTGACTCCAAGACTGTTTTATTATTATTATTATTCCATGTCTGTCACTAAGCTCTATGCTTTAAAATAACTCTAAACATTTACTGAGTTCCTGCTCCATTCTTTACTGTCTTATTTAGTTTTTTCATTACAACCCAGTGAGGTCAGATTGGTATTATCCTCAACAGGCTCAGAGAAGTCAAGTAACTTGATCTAAGTCACAAAGCCTGAAAGAAGAGATATGGCTTGAGTCCAGATTTTCTGCCTTCAAGTGGAGGGCTATTTTCAGACGATTGTACCCAGAAAGCTTAATAATTTGTCCAAGGTCACACAACTAGCAAGCAACAGACTGGAATTTGAAATCAAATCACACAGCTCCCAGTCTGATCCTTTTTGCATCATAATGCCTCTCCTTAGTGACGCAGACACTCCATTTATACCTGTCATCAGTGTCATCAATCTCAGGCTGTAAACTTGGTTCACTGCACACTAGTGGTTCATTCAGTGACTGCTACTCTGGAGAATAATAGCTTCTAATAAAAACTTTATTTTCCATTTGAACAAGTCATTGAACATCTCTAAAGCAGAGCTCCATTATTCTTCACAAATTGAACAGAAATAACTTTTCCATTAATTGTATTAGACATTAAGGACGCAAGTCGAATGCTTAACTCTAACTCATGGGATGTTTTCGAGGCAGAATCTACGGAGAAAAACCGAAACAATGTCAGAGGGCATCACTTGAGAAGGAAAGCAGGTAAAAAGCATAACAGGAAAAAAAATTTAAAGGAAGTAGATACTAAATACTGACTAAAGGTTGAGCACAATTATTTTTTCTAAATGTATGTCATGAAAAATGGCAGGAGGCAGATCCTACGGTAAGAAGGTATTAGGGTGTAGACAGAATCAAAGCAAGGAGGGAAAAACTAGAGGAAGTCAAAAGAGTTGTCTGAATGTCAACTAATTTATAGGTTATTTTCATCCGCAAAATCCAGCCCATTTGCAGGTAGCATTTGAGACCTGTCTCAAGTAGATTCAACTTGGTTTACCTGCAAATAGACTGATTTCCACATATGAGCTCTTAAAATGCTACTTTGCTTGAAAATAGCCTTTATAACAGGATGTGTTTGTAAGATGACCCATAATAATCTTTCTTCAAATTATTGTGAAAACAAGGGATGTTAGACTTAACTTTTACCTTTTTCTCTAAAGAGCCAGCAACTGGCTCCAATCAGAGAAGGCATCAGAATGACTGCCTTTAAATCCAAAGTTGATACGGAGGGTCTAGAAAAATGCCCCAACTCTGCCTAGTCTTTAGCATCTCCTGAGGAACCGTCAATAAACGCTGTGCGCGGGCCCCACTGTCGCAATTCTAATTAAATTGAAATAGGAAGGTCCAAACAATTATGTATATTTTAAAAAAGTATTCCCAGGTAAGCTGGCGTCCAATCTACAGCCTTTCACTCTCAGTCCTATATGAGTGTGCACTTCTTTGAATAATCAGCCAGCCCACCCAAACAAACACAGCACAAGCTCCCAGCGCTTGGGAGATTAGCCATGTCGTGCTACGGCTGGTTAGCGTTATTAGTGGGTTTTTTTTTTTTCAGTTTAATCATTTAGTTATTAGTGTATTCTTAGCAAATGCACATCACGAGTGGCAGTGAATCACATTTTGCATGTGAGAAATCGTAACAAGTTGGTGTTAAACCTTTTACCTTAATGAACACGGTGAAAACCTTTCCCACATCTTATTGTTAAATTTAAAGCTTTTATCTTTAGCAATTCTCTCTGTTGACTTCTGTGCCCTCCCTTGCACCGGGTTTGATGGCACTCAGCCTCAGCACGTCTACTGTCTTTGTTTTCGTATTCATCTATTCCTTTGTAATGTGGTAATTAGTTTAAAGATGAAAGTCACTCCCGACTGAGTTTAGTACCGAGCTATTATTACCGCCGGCTAATGCACCTCTGGAAGACTGTGCACGGCAAAACAGAAGAAAGTTTTTCTCATGCACTCTCATTGGTTTATTATTACAATTAGGGGAATGCTGTGCAAAATGTATCTCTTAAGCATAAATGAAAGTAGAGATGGGGGAAACGTCAAGAATACAGAGAAGAAAACAGTGAGTTTTCAGAGAGCAATTACTAAGCCTACGTCATTTTATGACTCAGAAGAGCGGGGTCTGGCACGCCCTCCTGGTCCACTGGTGGAGGCGGAGCGTCTGGAATGCCACGCGTCTTCTGAAGTGACACGCAAAATACTGCGTGTGCGTATGTGCCACTTTCGGGAGACAGATACTTCGACCTTCGCCAAAGGCTTATGAGTGAGGCACCTACAAACTGGTTTGAAGGAACATTCTTTCCTCAAATCTTCTCCTTCTTATCAGTAACTGACACTGACTTTTAGACTACTCTTCATTTAGGATCTCTCTGCTGGTACAAGCCACACGTACTTGGTACGTTTCTTCATTGTGTCCCCGCGAGAATTCCGAATTAACAAATACTGGAATCAGGCTTGCCTCTTATGTACACAGGCCACCAGGGCCAGGATCTTAATTTCCTGAACAACTGCTGCAACATCTCTTCCTTCTCTGCCAGTACTGCCTCTGGTGAGGCTGTCTTCATCTTTTTTTTTTCCCCAGACTTTTTTGCATGTCTGTGTGGTTGGTAGGTGCACCTGCTGGCTGGGTACCATGGAAGCTTAGCGCCTACCCAGGTCCAGGCTCTTGTCCCTTGCTCTATGGAGGAGTAGGTTGACATCCTTAATGAGAGGGCAGGGCCTCAGTTCTCCGAGTGAGTGGGAAGGTAGAAGACAGGGGCCTCTCTCGTTATTTCTTAACACTGGGTCAGGATCTATCCATTTATTCATCCATGGCTCTATTCTCTTGCATAGAGAATTCTCTGTTCTCTATTTCAGTTCTTTTGGAATGCATTTGTATGTGTATGAGTGTGTGTGTGTGTGTGTGTTTGTGTGTGTGTGTGTGTATGTGTATGTAGAGGGCGTGGTCTGAGAAATCAGGCTGGAGGAATGGGCCTTTAATGCATTTTCCTGATAATCAGGGCTCAGTGCCAGACTGGTTACACAAAGATCCCTGACATTTAAAGCAAGTTGTAGCCTTCAGCTCTATACATAGGAGACTGATGCCATCTGCCATGTCAATAATAATTGTTCTTATTTATTGAGCTCACTGTATATCAGGCATTAATTTATATTATCTCATTTAATCTCTACAAGAATCCTCTGAGATAGGCCCAATTATTATTCTCGATTATCATCTACAGATAATGAAATAATGATGTAGTGTAACCAAGTAATTTGGGTGTCATACAGCTAGCGACTGGTTGAGTTGGGATTTAAACAGAGGTCTGTCTGACTCCAGAGCCTCCATGATCATCAGTATTAACTACAGGTCATCTGTAAGGACCCAGAGTCTCCAAGGAAGGTAGTCACAATCAGGGAAAGGTTAGTCATTGTGAGCTTGAGGCCTGGGGAATACAGCATTAGTTATATATTTCTCATGGATATTTATGAAATACTTTCCAGTATCAAGAACAGTGAAATTACTAATTTTGATGTGGGCTTAGCCACCAAAACCAACAACAGCAAACAATATCTTTAATCACTACAGACCTTGAAATCATCTAAATGTCCCCTTCAGAACATCCACAATTATTTGTCTGCTCATCACAATTACAGTGACTTTTCCTCAAGGAACAGCTTTTTAAAATTAAGTTCAATTACTCTTTACTTTTTAAATTATTAATATCAGAAGCTGTCATGTTCTATTACCCGCCTATACTTAAGTGACTCTGCTTTAACACTGACGATTATGTGCCCAGCTATGTTGGACATGATATCCATTTCGTCTTGGGATATGATCTAAAAATTATGGGACGTCTTCTTACTTTGTTCTCCATAAACTATATCTCATGTCTGCCACTAGATTACAAACTTGGTCTTCTGTAGTCAGTAACGAGGAGCTACTAGGTGCTAAAGTAATTTTGCAGCGATTTTAAAATTGTAATAACAACTCTCACTAATTTGAACGGCCATTCG